CTATTTTAATTGAAGTTATTTTTTTGGGATTAATTGCATATTTGCTATTGTATCTGCCGTGTGTTTTTTGTAATATTAAAAAATATTTGCAAAATTAACACACTAAATCCACCCGTATCAGTACCCCAAAGGACAAGTCCAAAGTCATTAAGAATTTTAATGCCTAGATTTAAAATAGGGCCTAAAGTGTTTGAAAGTGACCATCAATTAATTATGTCCATTTTTTTTAATCCCAATTAAGACAATTCTTACATATCAAACCTAGTTCACTATTAGGACCTCTTAATTTTAATATTTTCTTTTAAAGTAAATTTATAATAATTAAATATTAAATAAAATGAAGTCCTAATTCTCATTAATATCAAAATTAACATCTAATCATCAATTAGTGGGGTTTAAATGAGTGAATTATTATCTTCATAACTTAAGCCCAATACCTTAAGATCATCTTAATTGATCATCTTAATTGAATTATCTCAATTATCTCCCAAATCATGATAATAATCAAAATTACAATTTTACCCTTATCATGAAGTGGATGGTAAATTGGTTTCTACCTCTTAGCTCTTCATGTTTCAAACACCCAAGAGATTTTATTATAATCAACATTACCCTTTTACCTTTTGATTAATCCTAAACTTTAATTGAGGTATTAATATCCGAAAATTAACATTTTGCCCCAAGGGCTCCCTGTCTAATAACTTATCAAACAAAACTCAGGTGACCTTGAAATTTACATGGAGACTCAATCATGAGTTAATTAAAATATCAGAGGGGAAGATGTGGTCTTTTAGATTTTTTAATTAATTTATATAATTATTTTAATTAAAAAATAAGATTTTTCAATATTAATTTATTTAATTAATCAAAATAAGTTTTTTTGGTCATAAGAGAATTATTAGAGGTTCATCTAGGTCCGAGGAACAATTGGACAAAATTTGATGTTTTTTTATTTTTAATTATTATAATTATTTATTGATTTTAATGATTCAATTAAATAGAAAATGTGTTTTTGTTTTAATTACAAAAAAAATTTTTTATATTTTTATTAAATCCCTATAAGTTCAAGGAACTTAGAGAAACAAATTTCATAGTTTTATAATTTATATTTTATTTATTAAAATTATTTTAATGAAAAAATAAGGAAAATACATTTTATGCCTTTAAAATTCATAATTAATTTATAAAAATTAAGAAAAATATTCTAATGATCCTAAGTCATCATGAAACAATTAGGCACACTTTAGACCATTTTCATGTTTTTGCAATTTTTAATTATTTTTAATTTAACATATAACTTAAAAATAAAGTATTTTCTCAAAAATAATTTTTATTTTTTGTAAGTGACCCTCATCACAAGGAACTCAGAAAACCACTTTTCATAATTTTTTTATAATATTTAATTTAATATAATTGTTTTTGTACAAAAAATATTTTTTTTTTTTGAAAATATACTTTAGTACTTAAACATAATCAAACAAATTTCAAATTTTTACAGTGACTGAACATGATTTTTTTAAATAATGTGGAATTGATTTTATTAATGTTTGAATAATATTTATTTTAAATAAATTAATATAAGATATAAGCATTTAACTAACTATAGAATTACACAAAAATTATCCAAACCATCCTGACATTTTTCCTAAGCCTCTCTAACCATAGGGAACTTACTAAAATTCATCCTATAATTTTTCAAGTGATATTTTAATTCATGTAATTATTTTAAGCCAGAATATCCATCCAAGCTTGGAAATTAGGGTTACATGCATAGAGATGCTCTCTGACCTTGGAAAAAATTAGAGAATATCCCCTCTGTTATGATAAATGAACCCCCAAAGTTTCAAGCTTTGACGAATAATATTTAATCAATTAAAATTAAAACACCTCAAGGACTATTTAATTAATTAAAAATCAGAGAATTTTTTTGTCCACATTATTTTCCTCTGTTCACTAATCAAGTTGGTATTTTTATTTTATTTTTATACTTTTTCTATGCAAGAATATGAATTTTTGAAGTTTTGACATTTATTTGAATCAATAAATCTTATTTTTCTACTTAACCCAGTTAGCAGTTAGCGGCCACATAATCCTCGTACGAGTCAAGCTTTCCATGTGGCGCTCTCTAATTTGGCATCACCAGCCACCTTAGGGCCACGTGTCTCGCGGTTCACATACCATATCCTCATCCGGCTTGATCTCGTCCTACCATGCGATAGACGTGCAATCGAACGGCTCATGCTCATTGTCGCCAACTGACCTAACCTGTAAGCCATTCAACTTCAAACCACAAGTTCTCTCTCGATACTCAATTAAATAACATGGGATTTATTCCTACACCTTCATCTACTCAAGAAGAACACATCTATACGGTTACAATGCTTCGGGGACCACTACTCAAGACGAACACATCTATACAGTTACAATGCTTCGGGGACCACAAACTCTTTGAGCTTCTTAGCCTGAAGTAACTCCTTGATTAAGCTATAGATGTGCTTGCACTCCTCTGTATCGTGGCCAAAATCTTTATGGTACTTACAAAACTTGTTGGTGTTTTAGAGGAAGGCTTTGGGTTTCAACGATGGGTCCTTTTGGATGTAATCCTTGTCTTAAATAACTTCCAACAATTTTTTTCATTAAGACTTTTAATTGTGTGGGTCTCGGACTTCCTTGATCGCCAGTTGAGTGATCATTTGTTCGATTGCATCTTCATGTGTTTCGTTTTAGCTTCCTTATTCATATGGGATGTCTGGTTTCTTTCATGCTTAAGATGAGGGCCATTCTTCTCCCTTTATCTGTCATCTATTAAGCCTTTCTTACCAAATTGTTAGTCAGAAATTTTATTTTTGGAGATAGGCAAGTTTACATATTTTTATGTTGTGATGTGGTAGTTGGTCATCTCTAACTGTTCGCCAATGTTTTGGGTTTCTGCAACCCAAGGAAATATTTAAACTAAGGGCTCTTTAGCCCTTGTGCCAGCGTGACCTTTGCAATAGCCGACTTCAGATTACATACTTCAAGCATCACCTTCTAAAAACCATATAACGTACGCTTGTAAGCTCTTGTTTAGTCCTTGCTTTACATGCCTTAAGGATTTTGAATCCTTATAGTGATTTTGGCCACAACAAACTACACTATAAATAACTTTTTAAAAACTTTGAAGGAGTTAATAATCCCGACAGGGAGTCTGTTGAACCAACTGAGAGATGAATCCTTGAGCATGGTGTAAAATAGTCAGCATTTTAATGCGTAAGAAACTTTGAGAAGGCATATAACTGACTTAAAGGGTGCAATATGATCGGTCGGATTGCTCCGACCCCTGTATGGTTCCAAAGGTGGAACAATGAATTTCTTAGGGGATTATGTATCAACAATCCATCGAGAGAATGCATTCTATGGTCAATGGTGCACTTCTCTTAGCCTCTCTTCTAGCCTATTCTTCGGCATGGATCCAACACTATCTTTGTACTGGAATTCCTCTACATATTCAACTTCTTGTGTTATTTAATTATATTGGGCCTTAGATGCTGGAGGATTAGGTTGTGGGAGCGGCTGCACCATCCCCTCAAGCACCACGTAGGACAGTTCTGCAATCTTACTCATCATCCGGTCTTTGAACTCCTGAATTCGTTGTTGCACGAGTTACCCGATGAACTCCATATTAGATGTTTCACCAATGTTAGTTCCTTCTATGGGGTGCGCTGCTCTTCTTGTTGAAGGCATGACTTCACCCTCACAACATATTTTAAGATGTTGAGTCTGAAAATGTCTTTTGGGTCACGCCCAAGGAATAGAACGTTGGTAGGATGAGAGTAATAAAGGGTAGTAAGAGAAAGAATGTGTAAGTAACAAATAATGCTAATTCTTTTGGAATAGCTTCAGTTGTCTTTTTTTATGGAAATGACCCTCCAAGTTATAGATCATAGGGAGGGTCTAGTAATTTACATGATTGTCCCTCTCTTAATGGGAACATTACATTATATTTATGATTCATTACACATTTACATACTTGTAACCGAATTTGACACTTTTTGACCCTAATAACCATTTTTGGCATCGTTCCATATTTGTAACAGCTTCTAGCACCGTTTCATATTTATAACAACACAATTAAGTCGTTTGACCATCACTCGATCGCCTATAATTGTTTGATCGACTGAATGATCCTCGGTCGACCTTTTGAAGTGGATTCATTGTGAAGACGCATTGTCCTTAGGAAGGGTTATTCATTACGCAAAGACTACATCATCATAATCTGGTAGGAAGACTATTTGGATGATAAATCTTCATAGAAGGTCAGGTGAGAGATCTGCTAAACAATCTTTGATCTTGTGAATGCCATTGTGTTACTTAAGTGCGTGGTATTCTTCGGTTTGGACATACGTTCATTCAGTTGGCTCAAGTTTCAACCGACTGAAATGGCATTAGAAGGCTCGATCCTTTGCTACATTGATTACGCGATCCGCTGAATCTCGTTAAGATTCGATCAGTCACATTTTTTATGTATAGATAGTATATAAATTATTTTAGATATTAAATTGTGAGAATGTAATTTAATTCATTATTATTATTTTAGATAATTTTTTTTCTTAAAAAAAATTATATGGCATCAAAACTTCAAGGAATATGATTTTAAATTAACTTGCATGCAATCTTTTATTTTTGAGCGAAACCTTTTTTGCACAACATATATAGTTAGAGAAATGCTATAAAACATTAGTGTCAATTAATTTAATTTGCAAAATTTTTAAAATTATTAATAAAATTCATTTACCTAAGCTTTATACTTCATAATTTAATATTTTAAAAAAATTAGGTTATACGTGGTACCGTCACCCCTTGAAATCTCATAGCCAACCATTGAATAAATTCCCAGGCTGCCCCTAAACGGTTCGGGCCACCAATGAGCGTCATTCCGAAAATGCCCGTGCCCATTACCCCCCGCAGAAATTGTATATAAACATTTTATTTATTTAATATCAGAGCTGTTTTATCGCCCGCTTTGCAGCCTCGCTCTCCATCCCCCCTTTCTCTCGTTCAATCTCGCCGCCGACCGCTCTACCCAAGTGATTTCGTGATACCATTGTGCCTTCCGAACTGCTCATTCATCCGATCCGAACATCTCCATTTGCTGGTTGAAACCCAAATCGCCGTCCAGACGGCGGCGAATGACAACGACTGCGACGCAACGTGGGAAGCCGCAGTCTGACCTTCTTCACCGTGTCTTCACTTCGGCGACCCTGAAGCCCTGGCGGAGACAGCCGCTGCTCCAGTTTGATATGGAAGCTGGAAAAAGAAGGCGGGTGACCCGGTCTCCGGCGCAAGGAAGACGGCTTGCGCTACCGCGGATCAGAGATCGGGTGATCGGAGACGACCACGGTAGCCTCAAGGAGCTCCGAGAGAAGCTGCTAGACCATCTCCGTGAGACTGCTAACAAGTTGAAAATTGAAATGCCCCTCATCGGTCCTGCGGTTCTAGCATCGGAGAAAGCCGGTCAGCCCAAGCTGGAGCCAGCTCCGTCCTCCACCGGCGGAGAGACCGGTAGGCCTTGGAATCTAAGGTTGAGAACAACCGCGAGGAGGACGTCGGCCGTGCCTGTACATTCGCCGGCAAAGAAGATGGAGAGGACGGTGTGTATTAGATCGGCGCGTTCCGAGAAGAAGAAGCGGAGAATCTCGATCTCGCTTTCGCGGGAGGAGATCGAAGAGGACCTCTTCGCGCTCACAGGATCCCGGCCACGACGCCGGCCAAAGAAACGGCCGAGGAACGTTCAGTGGAGGCTTGATGTTGGTTTCAGATCTCCTATTATGATTCCTCGCTTCTCTATTCCCCTTCCCCTTCTTTCATTAACTTTATTATTTTCCTATTATTTCCTGCAGACGCTTTTCCCAGGGCTTTGTCTGCCGGAGATCACGCCGGAGCTGTACAAAGTCCCCGAATAAGCTTTTCCCGGCGAGGTTAACCTCACTGCCTGTGACCATAATGCACTACTCTGCTTCTTATTAAACATGGGATTAGATTGATCGATGGCTGGTTCTTCTTTTTCGAATGTAACCGTAATTTTTTTGCTCTTTTATTAGACAAATGGAATTGGCAACAGAATCTTAGTGGAGATATCTTCAAAAATATATGTATTTTTCGTTTTCTGCATTTTTTTGGTATATTTCTTTGTTCTTTTATTCATCACAGTGGACTTGGAATGGAGTTTCGGATTAAAAAGCAGTAGAAGGAAGAGGTAAGACGTCAAGATCGTCACCGATTCGCCAGCTCCTTCTCAGAGCCAGAATTCATGTTCTATCTGAATATAAAGACATTGTTTTATTTAATTAAAAAATTTATCCTTTAATGAACTGATTTGATCTTGTATAAAGTGAATGATCTGGCGTTTTGGAAAACAATTTACATTTCAGAAAAGCTGGATTTTTTTTTGGGCTGTTTATTGATTTGTTGTTATAAATATCTATATTTAGTCGTTTGACAATTTATTTTTAATATCATTGTCATATTTTTTATTTTTTGTAACGTACTTTTAATAAATTAAAATTGCTATTGAGATCGTTAAAGGTTGATGCTCGAAATTTTGGAAATGATTGGGAATATATTTTTTGGCAGCCAACAGTTAAGGTTTTATTATTATTTTTTTATCAAGCGAGTTTAGTCAGAATTTACATGAAAGTTTACGTCTTGTGATGCGTATGCGAGTGAAGCCTACGATAAGTAGAAAAACCTCACAGTGAATGCCGCTACAGGAAGAAAGATCTTTTACCATCACAGCCTTTGGACAATTGCTTCTATTTATAAATTAAAAATAAAAAAAAACTTTATACTATTCAACATTTAAAAAAGATTTATTTCATGTTTCTTATAAATTTGATAAAGTAGCTCCCCCTGAATTTTGAAATATATTTAGAGTTTTATTTCATCTAATAATCCAAATGTGTTGATGTGCATTGGAAGGTCTATAGTAATATAGTAATTATTTAGTATCTTAGCGTTCTACAAAACTCCAGTACACATTTATATAATGAAAGAGAAGTGAGTAGGAGGCACATTGGCTTTTATGTAGAAAAATCTTGGAAAAGCAAAAATACCAAGTGGCCTAACCAAATTAAAACATTTCACTATGTAATTGTGAAAGCATAGATCCACACTTCTCCTATATTAGAAAAAATCTACTTAAAAAGTTGAACAATAATAGTTCATTAATAATAATTGTAATCAAGCTGCAATGAGTGCAGTTCATGACGATAACATACAATAAGGGTCGTAATCGATTATTATGGAGATAATAGTTAGTCATCAATGTTGTTGATGGTGGTTGTATTGTTAGCTTATCGTAGAGGCTCTAGTTGAAAGTCATGGTTGTAGCTAGTCAGGTGGGTCGTAGATTATGGTTCAGGAGCGTTGACTTCCCAGGGGTTGTAGTAGACAATTGTAGGAGTTGTGAGCAGCATAGACTATAAGTGGTCACATCGGTCTTAGTGGTGAGTTGTGATAATGCTCGTAGGCCGCAAAGACCAGAGTTGGGAGCTACATGAGTTGTAGGCCGCATAGGTCATAGTTGGACATAGATCATAGCAGGGAGCTGTAACAACATCCATAGGCCATAAAGGCCAGCGTTACATGTACTTTCATAATGTCCTTATAATCTTTCCCAAGAAAAAAAAGTTTACAAAAAAAAACGAAATAAAAGACACAACATCTCTCAATCATTCACATGAAAATCTCGAGAAGTTCTATTCAAGTATTTCTCTCTTTACAAGCACTCTCAATTCTCTCTTACAAGTGTAATGAAGAAGAAATCTCTCACCTTCCCTCTCCTCTTGCAATCCTTGAAGAAAATTTCTAAGCCATTGTCTTTCTCTGTCTCTCAAACTCTCTTGTTCGCCCCTTACATGCCACACTTACACACTCTCCAAAACCTCTTTTATTAAAGGCTACCTCCCCTACTCAAAATTCATGAGAATGATACTAAAAAACAAGGATTTCATATATAAAAACCAATTTTCAAAACAAAAGAAATAAAAGACACAACTTATCTCACAATCTTTCCCAAGCAAATCCCTAGAAGTCCTCTTCAAGCATTTCTCTCTCTACAATCACTCTCAATTTCTTATTAGAATTGTAATGAAGAAGAAATCTCTCACCTTCTCTCTCCTCTTACAGTCCTTGAAGAAAATCTCCAAGCCCTTTACTTTCTTTCTCTCTCTCTAACTCTCCTTGTTGCCCCTTCACGCCACACCAACTCTCACACACACATGCCAAAAAAACTCCTCTTCAAACCCTAGACTTCCCTCTCTTTAGAAAAGGCTACCTCCCTCCAAAAAGAAAACAAAATTCCCTCCAAAATTTTGTCAAAAAGTCAACCCTTTTGAATTCAGAGGACATGTCCATTGATCCAAGAGACATATCCCTTCATAAAAGAACCTTCCAATGTGTTTAGATGCATTGAATACTTTAAGGGGTTCTTAGAACAAGTGTCCCTTTGAAAATTTACATAAAATTTTTCTTGAACTTCCTTAATCCGCAAAAAGTTGTGCCTGGCGCATATGACTCCAAATCTGGCACATCATGAGCCAACGTTCTATCAAATTGCCCATTTGGCGCCAACCTGGTGCATCATGCACTGATTTGCTGAAGACCGTGCTATTCTAGGTCTTGGCGCATTTGGCGCCAATCCAGCGCATCTAGTGCCAATCCGACACATCTGGCGCCAGAATTAAAAAATTTGTTGTTTTGGCTCCAATATTTGTCCTTTTTGCTACTTTTGCTCCAAATGCCTAAAATTGATATACCTTCAACAAAAAAAATGAAAATACCCCTCTTTAAAGTGCAATGTCAGAAAAATAAGCATAAAATATATACTTAAAACTACATATTTTTTTGGTGTATCAAAATCCCTCAAACTTAAATGTTACTTGTCCTCAAGTGACACTTTTACTACATAAAAGCATATGACTTAGGGTAGAGACTAACTTATAACTTCTATGCTTTACTTTAATAAATAAAATAGTAAAATTTAAGGAAAACCTTTATAAACTTAGATGAAATTTTAAGATTTCTGAATCTCTATATATTTCAAGAAGAATTGCAATTTCTCATATCAAGGATAATTAGAATATTCATACAAAAAAAGAACTTCATGAAAACTTTACTAATAATGTTACTAATAATCCAATATAAGTTTAGAAAATTTAATAAAGCTTTTTTCCTTTGGTTGATTCAACTGAAGCCAATTTTTTGTTAGGTATTTCCTCAAGCTTCTCCTCACTTATGTTTCTATTTGTATTTTTTTTCTTTCTTTTTATTTTATGGTCTTTTCAATCCTTTTGTTTCTTGTTCTTTTTTAAGTGATGATTACTATATCTGGATAGCCTTTAGCAATTTTTAATTTCACTATCCTCTTATTATAGTTTAAACTCCTTGTCTTTCTTCACTTTATAAATTCTTATTAGTTTATGATTTTCATAAAGTCTCATTCTTTTCTTTTTACATGAATCTCTAAAATTCTTAATACTTTAAAAAATACAATTTCCTTTACTTTAAATAGAAAAACTTAATCTTATCTTATCATACCAAATATCTTTAACAGTAGAATTGACTTTCATTATTAAAAAACTTTTACCTAAATTTACCATAATATTCATAAATTTAAGTATAATTATTTAAAGTTTAATCTTAATATCCCATGCCATGTTAAATTAATTTTAAAATTATTGTTACTTAAGGACAAATAAAATTTTGTTTACTTCTTTTCAAAAGAAATTTTTCTTCCCCCCAAACTTAAGTTCTTATGCATTTTAAAAATATTTTAGTACAAAATGCATTTGGTGAAAGAAAACAATAAATGCATGAAAATAAAAACTAACCTGTAGAGGGTTTCTGACTATGAAACTAGGCTCTGCTATACTGCAAGCACTAACTTTAAAAATACATAGAGGGTTTAAAGCATTAAATGAGACATAATATATTCTATAGAATTTGTTGAGATTTAAAATTGAAAATACTAAAAATGCAGAAAAAAGTAAAAATTTATTGTTACTATTAAAATTTAGGTCCATAGCACAAAATGAAAGTTTTTACCACAACCGTTTCAAATGACATCAAATAACAACATAATAAAAAATAACAAACAAACAAACAAAACAAACTAAACTCCTAAGAATATCAGTCATCTTTGCCTTCCTCATCATCATCATCTTCTTCTTCTTCCTCCTCATCATGAATAGGAGCATAAGAAGTGAATCTGGGGCAAGTTGAAAATTCCATTGGAAATTCCCCATTGTGCTCACTCTTAAGATACCTAACCATAACTTCCTCAAAAACTTTATCATGCTGAACTCTCCTCTACTTATACTCATCATTATAAGCATTTCTTACTCCAATTTCTCCAATCTAGTTTTGCATATTAACTATATCTTTTTTTTGAATCATAAGTTGCTCCATAATATTTTCAAGTGAAGCAGAGCGAGATGTAGATGCCCCTACAGCTGATGTAAAGGGTCTATCAATGCCTCCACTCATAGACTGAACAAATGATTCAACACTTTGAACAGTATGCTTCCCGATAAGACTTTTGTGGTTGCTGTCTTTCCTCATTTCTATGGGACGATTTCTATGGGACACTACTCCTGATTTCTCACATAAAGTGAAAGTCAGGGCAAGGTAACCAAACCACTAGTTGTAAGCACTACTAGCTATAATCCGATCTTGATGAACTATGAGAGCACCAAGATCTACTACCTTCATTTTCTGAATGCACAAGTTTAGTACAACTCCATCCTTCGTTACTTCGCTCAGATGATTTGTTGGCAGTAATTTAGCAGAGATGAAGTGGTGCCCTACCTTTAACTGAATAGTCATCATGAAAGCGGAGAAGTTAACTTTCTTATTATTTTAAATCTTCCATCAGTCAGAAAAGCAATCACTTCATCTAGTGATGAATCAGTCATCATAAATGTAGCATATTCGCAATGGAATACATTTCTTAGCCCATAAAAAGCATTGATCATATCTCTTGAAATTCAGCTTGCTTACCTCTCACAAGGATGTGGTCGTCAGTGGTAAACCTCAATTTAGCATAAAACTCCCGAATCATTGGTAAAATTGCTACTTGCAGTAAAGTAGCAAAACCTCTCCCAATTTCTGACATTGATAAACCTCTCGGTCTCACCGCCCACGTTAGCAAATGCCAGTTCTTGGATCAATTTTCTTGTTTCAATTTGAGGGTTATAACAATGTTGGACTTTGAAATTGATGAATCTCCTCACGTCAAAATCATATGCTTGCTTTCCTCTCTTCACTCGTGGAGCCATTAGAATTTCTATGATAATCCAAATAAAATCCAAATAAATTACAAAATAAAAAATCTAACTCCTCAAGTAAGATTATTTGAT